CCAGAACCGGCACCCCCCAAACCCAGAACTGGGATTCTCTGAACCCCAAAACCCAGAACTGGGACCCCCAAAACCTCCAAACCCGGCACCCTGGGACCCCCGGACCCCAAACCCAGAACTGGGACCCCCAAACCCAGATCTGGGATCCTCTGAACCCCAAAACTCGAGACCCTGGGACCCCCCCGAAGCTCAAAATTAGGGACTCTGGGACACCCCGAGCCCCAAAACCCAGAACTGGGATCCCCGAACCCCAAACCCGAGACCCCTCAAACCCCAAAACCCAAAACTGGGACCCCTCAAACCCAGAACTGGGATTCTCCGAACCCCAAAACCCAGAACTGGGACCCCCCGAACCCCAAATTCCAGAACCGGGACCCTCAAAATCTCCAAACCCGAAACCCTGGGACATCCAGAACCCCAAAATTAGGGACCCTGGGACACCCCGAATCCCAAAACCCAGAGCTGGGACCCCTCAAACCCCAAAACCCGGGACCCCCAGAGCCCCCAAACCCAGAACTTGCACCCCGGAACCCCCCAAATCCCGGGACCCCCCCAAACCTCAGAACTGGGACCCTCAAACCCCAAAACCCGGGATCCCGGGACCCCCCAAATCCCGGGACCCCCCAAACCTCAGAACTGGGACCCCAAAACCTCCAAACCCGGCACCCTGGGACCCCTCCCGAACCCCAAAACCCAGAACTGGGATCCTCTGAACCCCAAAACCCAAAACTGGGACACCTTAAATCTCGGTACACCAGGAACCCCTGAACCCCAAACCCGAGAACCTGGGACCCCCCAAACCCAGAACTACGACCCCTCAAACCCCAAAACCCGGGACCCCCAGAGCCCCTAAACCCAGAACTGGCACCCCGGGACCCCCCAAATCCCGGGACCCCCCAAATCCCGGGACCCCCCAAACCCCAGAACTGGGACCCCAAAACCCGGGACTCCTCAAATCCCAAATCCCAGCACCCCAGGACCCCCCAAACCCAGCACGGACACCTGAGACCCCTCCCCAACCCCGGCAGGACCCCCTGGGACCCC